TATTAGATATTTTGTTTAAAACTTGTTTTTATTTTGAAATATTTTATGAATTATTTTATTTAATTATTTTTTGTATCAGTTTCTATTAAAACTGTTTAATGCTTTGATATTCTGTCTTACTCTCGCTGCAAAAACTTAATGTCATAATAAAATTATTGATATACCTTAGAGAGACTAAGACTATTTTTATTTTGGAACTATAGATTTTTTGGTGCATATGTCTTATTTTAGATTATATTGTTTGATTTTTATGATTATTTTTATCTTATTTTATATAGCGTCTCTTTTTGTGTGTTTACAAATTAAATTTATGCTTGAAGATTTTAGGGAATTCCTAACATACGATTTCTCTTTTATAACATTTATTTAGATATACAATAATATTTGATCTCTTGTTATCATACGAATTTTTTTTATCTGTTTATATTAATTTATGTTTTTCACTAATTTTTATTGAAGTCTTCATTTTAATTATGTAGTGTTTTTGGCATTTGATTTATCAACGTGAGTAATTTCCAACGTGAGTGATAAGTTTGGATTTTAAAGACACAAAATAGCATAGGATTTAACTGTAGCTAGTAACTAATATTCCATTCCAAAATGATTCATGTTTTAGAAAAAAAAATATTTTAAAAATACATTTTATTTTTTAATATATATATATATATATATATATATATATATATATATATTTATTAAGTAATAACAATAAATTGTAAACTTTTAAAACTCAATTGTGGTTATTAAACTTACATTGTCTAAAAATTATGAGAAAAGTTAATCATTAAACACAATATATGTAGAATCAGAATTGAATATATTTTATTATGTGTGAAAACTTAAAAACATAGATCATTTTGAAATAGGAGAGTAACTAATAAATTAACTCTTTTCATTTCTTATGTTAAAATGAGTAACATTTTAGTACTTGTTGGAAGTTTTGGATCCAGTGCAGTGGTCAGTGATTTTTAGTGGGGATTTGATATTTCAGATGAACCTTCATTTTACAGCGTTTAATTAATGGAGATATTGGAATCATAGTAGTGTATATATGACCTAAATAGTTAAGTATATATAGAGATCTATATATGTTAATCATACCAAATATTCTTTCTGTTTCATTATAAAAAAAAAATACAATTACCTATATACTTAATCATATTTTAATCAATAAAAAATAAATTATATAATAAAATTAATAATTTGATATTAAAACCTAAAAATGTTACTTATTTTGTTATGGGATTTTTTTATTATAATACTCAATATATAAAACAGAGGGATTATATAGAAGGAAGCATAATGCTGGGATCAAAGGTGTAATGAAATTGTATATGGTTCGGGGTTTCTAGCTTTAAAATGTTTTAAACGAAATGCGGCAAGGGGTGATTAACCGTAATTCATTCTGCCGACATCTTAAATAAAACTAATAAAATATTTGAAGTGATTCTTAACTATCTGGCCACCCCATCATATTAATGGCTTTACACTTGTTTATAAACAAGATGTATATTCTTTCAAACTAGAAAAATAATATTCTAAATTATCTAGAGATACTAACGCAGATTATGTTATTAGTACATAATTATAAATTAGTTACTATATTCTCTTGTTAAGTAACCTTAGTAATGACAGTTATTTATAAACTAGCATGTCATGCTAGTAGGCGACCCTTACCCGGAAAATTAGGCTAAGAAGTATACGTATGATTGTATTATATGTTCATCATAGTTCTGTCTAGACTTTTTTTTGGCCAAAATGTAAATTGCATATAAACTATGAGTAAAAGGTTACAATAACGTTAAGCTAGCTAGGATTTTCGATGAAAAAAAAAAGTAAGAACAAAAGAAAGCCTAACATAAAAGAAGAGTTAATCGGGTGATTGTGGTCGAGTGGTAAAGAGACAGAGTTGGGACATCAATTTATTTTAGTTTTAATTTACCTCATGCGCGAAACTAAATCACAATTATTATGGTTACCTAACACATATATGAGTTCTAAACATTTCAATGCACGGAGATAGAATCTATATGTGGAGTGCACTTTCTCTTAGAGATTAATTTGAGCTTTCTATATGAATTTGAGATATCCCCAAATTAATTAAAAAAAAAAGTTGACACTGGGTTACTCATGACTAAGCCATTCCCACATAAGATTTTGGAAGTCCTTCTGTTGCCTCTTGCCAAGAAGGCAAAAATAGCTTACCAAACGCTACGATCTATATGCTTGAAGATAGAGACTGGAGTGGAGGTGACGCTGTCGTGAAGTTGCTTATTGCACTCATACCAGATATGAATCATTGGACAAGATCTTTAACAGTGAGCCAGTTGGAAAAAGCTGTACAAGTATGAAAAGCCAGTAAGGATATCCTAGTCATCGAAGAACCGATTCCCAAAGTTTTTTCTGCAATTCCACAAGAAAGAAGGTGATCTCTAGTTTCCGCCGCAGAGTCGCACAAGAAGAAAGTGTCAGTGGTTTCAGCATAATACTGGCAGAAATAAGCCACTCTCCTGAATGCATCAGCATTACTCGTTGTTTAGAGTAGCCTTGAGCACTTGGTTTTTAGTTTCGGTTCGGTTTTTAGGTTTTGCGGTTCTAGAGATTTAGGATCCATTTAGATATTTAAAAAATTTGGTTTGATTCTAATTTTGGTTTTTTCGATTCTCAACTAGGTTCGGTAACAAATATAGGAACCGGATAATATCTACGATAACTCCGGATCTTATTTAGTTTTGGCTCGGTTCGTTTTTTTGGTTAATTCGAATTAAAAGTTGGAAATTCATGTTTTCGTACTAAATATCGGGTTTTAAGATTTTTGGATAAAAATTTGGCTAATTCTTATAATCTTAAATATCTCGAATTAATAATCTTGGTAATTCGTTTTTTGGATATTTCAGTTTATAAATGATATTTTAAAATTATCTAAGTATTGTAAAACTAAATATAATTAATATTTATAAGTATATAAATTATATTATAAAATTTAGGTACCTTCAGTTCTTAATTCGGTTCTCATTTGATTTTGGTTCGGTTCCATTTTAGTTTTGAGTCTTTGGTTCTAGAAATATAAACTTTGTTTGGAAAATTGGTAGAATCCAACCATGGATTATTCTTTTCAGTTTAGTTCTTTGGTTCCGGATAAATGTGTCAAGAGTTTAGAGTCATGCCATCAAATGTGTAAGATTCTCTTAATAATCAAACATTTAAGATTCTAGCTTGACAAAGAATTACGTGTTTTATCTACGAATACTAATTAATTTTTATTTTATTAATTAAAAACCAGCATAATAAATTAGTATTTACATTTTCAGAAATTTAAATCAAACACTAAATTAAGTATAAATGACAACTCTCACATATCAGAAATATTTTAGAAAATATATACACAAATATTTTAATAATTATAATTTTTCATATTATAATTAAAAAATATATTTTCAAGATAACAACATAAAGAATAAGAATTATCTTAATTTTTAAAAATATGTATTTGAATCTAAATTCATTTAGTTATATAATAAATTATATATAAAATTATTAAAAATATGACAAATAAAAAAAGTTACCTAGAATCATGAAGAAGTTGAAAAATCAACAACTTTAATTCTCAAATAATAGTATAGTTAAGTTTTATAATAGAAAACATATTTTCAAAATAACAACATACTAAATAATAATTATCTTAATTTCTAAAAGTATAATATCAATAATATACTTCCTTTTAATTATATATAAAATTAGTAAAAACATGACAATAATCAAAAATTATTTAAATCATGATGAAGTTGACGAATTATCAAATTTACTACACTCACATGTGAGAAATATTTTAGAAAATATTTATACAAATATTTTACTTGATTTATATTTAATTATAATTTTTATATCTTAGTTGTATATTTTATTATAAATATATTTTTATAATTAATAATAATTTGGTTATTTCTACAAATATAATATGATTAATATAAATTCATTTTAATTATATAGTAAGTTATGGAATATCAGTAAATTTACTTTTCAAATAATTGTACAGATAGTTAGATTTTAAGATAAAAATAATACATAAGAATCATCTTATTTCTAAAAATATAATATTGTTAATATATATTTTTTAATTATATAATAAATTATATATAAAACTATAAAAATATGAAAAATAAGAAAAATTACCTAAGATCATGGAGAAGTTGAAAAATCAACAAATTTACTAAAAATATAAATTCATTTTAATTATATAATAAATATATATATATATATATATATATAATTATGAAAATATGACAAATAAAGAAAATTAACCAAAATCTTGGAGAAGTTGACAAATCAGCAAATTTACTTTCTCTTAAGAATCAAACATTTAAGATTCTTTACAAAGAATAAAATATTTAATTCAATAAAAAGAAGAAAATATTTAATATTGGACGAAAACTACATGTAAATCAAAACTAGGATCATCACATATTTTCGAACTAAAACTAGCTTTTACGTCTATCTTTGCAGCTTATTTATTCATCTGGCACATATGAAAAATATAATTTAAGATTTCTTAACCAAAACTAAACAGTCATTCAGAATTACATTTCCTTAATATTTTACATTACAGCCGTTCAGTCAAGATTTAATAAAGTCCAAATTGGAATATAATCCTAATTCCATATGATATTCCCTTTGATGGAAATATCACTAAAGATATGCTACCAAAGTTAATGCGAAACATTAATTTCAAACAAATCCGTAACCTAATCAGGATCTCAATTCAGACACAATCCGAGGAAGACAACTATTCTCTGTCTGTGAGTAAGTTTCTTTTATCTACAATGGTATCTCGTCTATGTACATATATGATATTCATGTACGTGATCATGTGTTATTTGCATATTTAAAAGAGAACAGTTACATAAACACGATCACACAAACACATAACATCCCCTTATATCTTATCTTATGCATAGCAGATAGACAAAACCAGTATACTACTTTTCTGTTCTTGAAGACCAATGAGAGACATCATAGAGATGAGATCTGATTCTGAATCAGACTATGATCTTCACGGCGACGATGAGATAAGTGTAGTTCCACAAGTGGAACTAACGGTGCCTAAAACCGACGATCCGACTTCACCGACGGTTACATTCAGGATGTGGGTTTTGGGCATAACCGCTTGTGCCGGTCCAACATTTTCGGATGCCCCAAGCAAAACTTTTGTTAAAAGAGATTTGCATGTTATGTATTTTTGAGTTTTGTTTTTTTTCGTCATCAAACGAAAACATACTCAGGATGATAATTTTGCGTCCGTGTGAATGACAAACGATGGCTGTTTTCTGACATTGCGTGTAAGACTATTTGTTCTGTGTTTTGAGTACACTAACAATCGTCGATTTGTGGAAATTTTCCTTCTAGAATCTTTATGTGTTCTAAATTAAGTTTTTTTGTTTGTTTTAAATTACAAAAAATTACACATAAAATGCAAACAAAAAAAAACACTAAAGACACAATCCAACTCATCTAAGCCAAGAATGTTTGAAACCTAATATCAACATGTCTTACTATGTTTTATATATAATATCAATATATAATATAAATAACACTAAAATTATAAGCAAATTCAGTTCTAATAAAAATTGGTAAACATAATATCAAGTTAACTGCATGGCAATATCAGTCAATGTTATCTTAAACAATCAGTGTTGTCAAATAAAAAATTTAGTAAAATAATTTCTTAGTATAAAATTTTATATTTACAAAATAATTATCATTTAACAAAATATTTATTCAATATGTTTATTAATAAAAGTTTTATAAGCAAAGATGAAACTCTNAGTGTTGTCAAATAAAAAATTTAGTAAAATAATTTCTTAGTATAAAATTTTATATTTACAAAATAATTATCATTTAACAAAATATTTATTCAATATGTTTATTAATAAAAGTTTTATAAGCAAAGATGAAACTCTTACAAATAGTATTATTATCAATAGAACTCTAAATTATATTTACATATAAATACAAACAAAATTCCTAATATATACAAAAGCTAAAAAAAAATATGCCCTCTAAAATTTTATGCCCTAAGCGGCCGCTTTGGTGGCTTGCCCTCCGGGCCGGCCCTGCAACTTGTGTCCTCTTGTCATTTCTCAACCAGTTCTTTTGGTACAGAACCAATCCTTTGACTATCTCCTCTGTCTCGGCTCAGATTGCTGTTGTTCCCATTGGTCATCTCATGGCTAGGGTTCTTCCGACAAGGAGATTCTTCGAAGGGACACGGTGGTCTTTCACTATGAATCCTGGTCCGTTTAGTACCAAAGAACATGTTCTTATAACCGTGTTCGCTAACTCAGGCTCTGGTGCTGTTTACGCTAGTCATATTCTTAGTGCTGTTAAGCTTTTTTACAAGAGACGGCTTGATTTCTTCCCTGCTTTACTCGTTATGATCACAACTCAGGTAAAAGAAAAATTAATAAAGAGTTTAATGATTTGTAACAAAAGAACAACTAAGAGCTTTTCTTTTGTTTCTTGGCTTGCAAGGTACTGGGATTTGGTTGGGCTGGGTTGTATAGGAGACATTTAGTTGAACCTGGTGAGATGTGGTGGCCAAGCAACCTCGTTCAAGTGTCTCTCTTCAGGTTACTATAACAATTCCTTGTCACTCACGCTATCTTTTTTTTTTTTTATATAATATTTTTGACTTTAATTATATACAGAGCCTTGCACGAGAAGGAGAAGAGATCAAAATCGGGAGTTACTCGAAACCAATTCTTTGTTATAACACTAATCACCAGCTTCTCCTACTATCTTCTCCCCGGCTATCTATTCAGTCTTTTGACCACCGTCTCTTGGTTATGTTGGATTAGCCCTAAATCTATTTTAGTAAACCAGCTCGGTTCAGGGTCAGCTGGTCTCGGTATCGGTTCCTTTGGTCTAGACTGGTCAACCATAGCTTCTTACCTCGGAAGTCCACTCGCTAGCCCGTTCTTTGCCACAGCAAACATCACTGTCGGGTTCTTACTTCTCATGTACGTAATCACACCTCTATGCTACTATCTAGACTTCTTCAACGCCAAGACCTTCCCAATCTACTCTGGTAAACTCTTTGTAGCAACCGGTCAAGAATACAACGTGAGGAGCATCATCAATGACGAGTTCCGCCTTGATCACAAGGCTTACGCGGAGACAGGACCAGTCCACATGAGCACTTTCTTTGCTGTTACTTATGGGTTAGGTTTCGCTACCTTGACTGCTAGTGTTGTCCATGTCTTTCTTTTCTACGGTAAAGATCTTTGGAACCAAACCCGAGGAGCTCTACGTAAGGACAAGAAAATGGATATACATACCAAGATCATGAAGAGGAACTACAAGGAGGTTCCTCTGTGGTGGTTTCTATCGATTTTCGCGGTGAACATTGCTGTGATTGTCTTCATGTGTATTTACTATAAGTCACAGATTCAGCTTCCCTGGTGGGGAGCTTTCTTGGCTTGTTTGATAGCTATGTTCTTCACTCCTCTCGTTGGTGTGATCATGGCTACTACTAATCAGGTAATTTAGAAGAGAGAATCACCTACATTTAATAACCGGTTATGGTGATATTAAAGTGGGTTTTTCTTTTGTTGTAGGCTCCAGGTTTGAATATTATCACGGAATACATCATTGGTTATGCATATCCAGAGAGACCTGTTGCTAACATATGCTTCAAGACTTATGGGTACATCAGCATGTCCCAGTCTTTGACTTTCCTTGCTGATTTAAAGCTTGGTACTTACATGAAGATCCCACCAAGAACCATGTTTATGGCACAGGTTAGTCTTTATATTTCCCACATACAATATTTGTATTCTTACTAGAACTGTCGCTTTTGTTGTTGAGTGTGTCAGTTTTGTTGTTTCACAGGTTGTGGGAACTTTGGTAGCAGTGTTCGTCTACGCATTGACAGCTTGGTGGCTTATGGCCGAGATCCCAAACCTCTGTGACACTTCTCTACTTCCACCAGAAAGTCAATGGACATGCCCAACGGATAGAGTCTTCTTCGACGCATCAGTGATATGGGGGCTTGTAGGACCAAGAAGGATGTTTGGTGATCTTGGAGAGTATTCAAACATAAACTGGTTCTTCCTAGGAGGTGCAATAGCTCCAGCACTGGTCTACCTAGCCACTAGAATCTTCCCAAACAAGAAATGGATCTCAAGCATTCACATGCCAGTTCTTATTGGAGCCACGGCTATAATGCCACCTGCTACTGCGGTTAACTTCACGAGCTGGATCATTATGGCGTTTGTGTTTGGACACTTTTTGTATAAGTACAGAAGAGAATGGTGGCAGAGATACAACTATGTGCTGTCTGGAGGGATGGATGCAGGAACTGGGTTTATGTCTGTGCTTTTGTTTCTTGCGTTGCAGCGTAGTGACATAATGCTTGATTGGTGGGGAAACTCTGGTGAAGGTTGTCCTGTTGCTAAATGCCCAACTGCTAAAGGTGTGGTTGTTCATGGTTGTCCTGTTTTCTAGACCAAAGGTTTGTGCCCTTAAGAGCAGTTTTTAAGTTTCATTTGGTTGAACACATTTTCCATTTCAGCGTCGGTAATATGTTTCATATATTTACATTTTTTTTATTTGTGAATTGTTTTCATAAATAAAATTGCTTATTTGTGATAATCGATTGAAAAAAAGTTGCTAGTTTTCTCACATGAATCTATGGGTTGATGAACAAACTTACATGACTTAACTTCATGACTCTACCAAGTCTCCAACCAATTGCATACAGAAAAGAAAGTGTCAAAGAAAAAGCTTTACAAAGATCTAAATTAAATCCCATTGCTCTGTTTTAACATCAAGAAGTATCCTCCTTGAGCCTGTACAAGGTGATTTCTTGCTGCTTGAAGTAACAGTGATCCTCTTCGTCGACCAGCACAAGATTCAGATAATAATTAACGATGAATTTGTTATTTATGTTGTTATGTGTGTAGAATCCGGAAAACCAGATCGACATAGACGAGATAAGAAAGACGGAGTTAAGGAAATTGACGATTATATAAGACATGGAGACGAGATAAATCTCTTTCCTTAACTCTTAATATTCGCTCCGTAGTGAGACGAAACTATACGAATATCGAGTCCCAGGATACAACCATGACAGACGAATCACGCTTCAATCGTGAAACGACCTAACAAACTTAAATTGTACGAACACTCTCTAAACTTACTTTGGGAGATTTGCTGGTTTTTTTCTTGCGTGAAAAAGTCAAGAATGAAGAAGGAGGAGAGGCAATATTTAAAGAGACGGAGAAAACCCACTTCCCGCAACAACTGCTGCACGTGGGCGAAAATCTCGCTGAGATCTCGGGAGTGGAAGCTCAGAAACTTTCTCCGCAAGATCTTTATTTGACTCGTTCAAATTGTTTGGCAAACAGATAGACTTCGTGTTGTTTTACACAAACTACGTGTTGTTTATTCACAAACGTCATGCTGTTTTTTTTTAAAAATGGCAAAGCGTTGAGCTTAATTTGGTCTAAAAAGATAACTTCTTATCGGGCCAAAGGCCCTCCAATAAAACCCAAGCCCAAGCCCAAGCCCAAGTCTACGCGGGCGGCGGCGGCGCTCGCGTGGGGATTCCTCTCTTCCTCTGAGTTGTTTAACCCATGTTGTCATGGGAACATATATATAATGCTCACCTCTTCACAAGTTGCCTGATGTGGGACTTATCCCCTTCATTTACACAGAAGTTAGGCTTTTTACTGGCCCAGTTCTATTCACATACTTTCCCAATAATTTTTAAAGCAATGGGCTTTAAGTTATTGATCCAACAATCCCCCACATGAATAGAAATGACTCTAAACATATGCAGACTATATGCACACTCGATAGACTCAAAATTTTTTTTTTATAAATATTCTAATCTTGACTAGACTAGACAGACTTGTCGAGAGTGTTTGCAAAAAATTCACCGTGTTTGAGTTGGTGGCATTTTTAAGCCTTGAACCACTCATAGTTAATATCTTTCGGGTTTACTTTACCAGAAGGTGAACATGATGTCTTGAACCAACCGGTGTTTTATGTAGACCGAGACAACATGCATAACGCAGCTTCATTTTCTCGTAGAACTTAGTTCTCTATTGTGTTCATTGTGGCCCTGAACTATTCGTGGTTTTCATGAGTGAACTTAGAGAATGTAGCCTTGCATTCATTCTCCTAGAAACGGCCTCATTTCACACTCATTAGGTGATTGACCATGAAAAGTATTGAGTAA